GCAAGATGCAACTGCACAAATGGCTGTACTTCAATTTATTTCATCTGGTTTACCAAATGTTTTATGTCCAACGACAATTCATTGTGATCATTTAATTGAAGCACAAATTGGTGGTGAACAAGATTTAAAACGAGCAAAGGTAATTGACTAATCATTGATTATTTATTTCATCTTGTATTATAAGATGATTTTTATTTCTTTTAAATAATTAATCTTACAAACGATAGCAAAAATGAATTAAAACTTTTAAAAGATGTTTCATTTTTATATACGAATACATCTATAATGAGTCGTGCATTATTATCAAATAGATGTTCTCTATAGGTTAATGACTATAAAACGTATTATGACTATTTCATTGTCATACGTAGTTATTCAAGCGCGTAATATACATAAGTCATTTGATCGTCGAATCATCACATACGTGCTATGTTTATCGAATGCTACAAATTAGTTTATTTGTTTTTATGTATTTAGGATCTTAATAAAGAAGTATATAACTTCTTAGCTACAGCAAGTGCAAAATATGATATTGGATTTTGGAAACCAGGTAGTGGTATTATTCATCAAGTATGAAAACTAAAAATCTTGAAAAGAGGAAAACAAAAAGACAACAAAACTTGTTTTTTTTGTATTTAGATTATTCTTGAGAATTATGCTTATCCTGGTTTATTACTTATTGGTACTGATAGTCATACACCAAATGGAGGTGGTTTAGGTGGACTTTGTATTGGTGTTGGTGGTGCTGATGCTGTCGATGTTATGGCTAATATGCCATGGGAACTTAAATGTCCAAAAGTAATAAATTATTTATATGACTAAAAAATTTATTTTTCTTTCAAGGTCATTGGTGTTCGACTTACAGGTGAATTAAATGGATGGACAGCACCAAAAGATGTTATTCTTAAATTAGCTGGTATTTTAACAGTCAAAGGTGGTACTGGTGCAATTGTTGAATATTTTGGACCTGGTGTTCAATCGATATCATGCACTGGTAAATTTTTTTGTTTTTTCAAAATTTATTATTATTTTTTTTTTTGTTTGTTTATTTTAGGAATGGCTACTATATGTAATATGGGTGCTGAAATTGGAGCTACAACATCAGTATTTCCATATAATGAACGTATGGCTGAATATCTTAAAGCAACAAAACGTGAAGGTAAAATTTTGTTTTTTTTTTCGAAAAATATAATTAAAACTATAGATACGTCTTTTTTTTTTGTTATTAGACATTGCTAAATTCGCTAATGAATATAAAAATAGTTTATTAACTGCTGATGAAGGCGCAAAATATGATCGTGTTGTTGATATTAATTTATCTGAAGTAAATATATATACATTTTTGTTTTGTTGAAATATTATTTGAGTTTTTTTAGCTTGAACCACATGTTAATGGTCCATTTACACCTGATCTTGCACATCCTATTAATAAATTAGGTCAAGAAGCAGTAAAAAATAAATGGCCACTTGATATTCGTGTTGGTAAGTAGAATCTCGAAAAAAGAAATTCTTTTTTTTTTTTTCTTATTTTTTAAATCATAGGTCTTATTGGTAGTTGTACAAATAGTTCATATGAAGATATGACACGATCAGCTAGTGTTGCTCAACAAGCAATAGAAAAAGGTATTAAAGCTAAATCACAATATACAGTAACACCAGGTTCAGAACAGATACGTGCAACAATTGAACGGGATGGCATTGTAAGATTAGATTTTTTTTAAAATTAAATTTTTTTGATTTATTTATTTTTTTAATAAAACAAAAAAAGGCTGAAAAACTTCGTGCAATTGGTGGAATTGTTTTAGCTAATGCATGTGGTCCATGTATTGGTCAATGGGATCGTAAAGATGTAAAAAAAGGTGAAAAAAATACTATTATTTCATCTTATAATCGTAATTTTACTGGACGTAATGATGCTAATCCTCAAACACATGCATTTGTTGCATCACCCGATATTGTTACAGCTATGGTTTTAAGTGGTGATCTTCGTTTTAATCCATTAACAGATTATTTAACAGCTGCTGATGGTAGTAAATTTAAATTAAAACCACCAACTGGTGATAATTTACCAGCTAAAGGTTTTGATCCTGGTGTTGATACATATCAAGAACCACCAAAAGATGGTTCATCACTTAAAGTTGATGTTGATCCAAAAAGTACTCGTCTTGAATTACTTCAACCATTTCCAAAATGGGATGGAAAAGATTTTATTGATTTCCCAATACTTATTAAAATAAAAGGAAAATGTACAACAGATCATATTAGTGCTGCTGGACCATGGTTAAAATATCGTGGACATTTAGATAATATTTCAAATAATATGTTTATTGCGTAAGTATAGAAATTATATTGATAACAAAATCATATTTTATTAATATGAAATAGATTAAATAAAATCTCATGAGATTCGATGTTTAATGAATTTCTTGACAATATAACACCGAATTATATTAACGTATTTTTTTTTCCTACTTTACTAAATATCATTGATGAAGTTCTCTATCAAATATATTCTATATTGAAATTTTAAGATTTTAGAAGGTTAATTCTTTTAAAATTATGAAAAGTATTTGAGATAAGAGAAAAAAAAAGAATCCTATGATCTATAACAAAAATATTGTAAACTTTGGTTGAAATAACAAATTCAAAAAATGAAAACGTAAATTTGTAGATCTTATCTTCTCTCATGCCCTTAGTGATATGTCTGTAGTTGTGGCAAAAAACAAGATGATTTAGCACGAAACATAATTATCGTTAATTTATTGAGAGCGTTTTTACTTTTCTTTAGTCCGTTGAAGTCTCTTCTTCACGTTTCCACTTTCGACCAAAATTGAGATAATATTTCTAAGTAAAAGTTGAATCTAAATATTTCAATTTTACACATAAGATTTCTCAACTTCGATGAAATTGGTATCAGCTTTAGTTGGTTAGTGAAATGAATTATTGAGTCATTGTTTGAATATGGCATGTATTCTTATTTTCAAAAAAGCAATAAACCTAACTGTTTTTTCGAATAATTTTTGATAGAAACAACATAGAAATCTTCAGTTTTCATCATTCAAGAAAGAAAGTCTTAGGCTATTTACACATGTTGAAATTTGATTGCTCGATGACTGAGTAATCAAGTGAATTCTCTGCATAGATCTTCAAAAACATATTTTGAAATTATTTTCTATTGAACTTCAACTTGATATATGACCTATCAATAGAAAAAACTCTTCTTTTTCAATTTCCACAAGTCCCAATTTTCTAGTATGTTCTGCTCAAGAACTATAAAAGCTTTCCCGACACCCTCTCGATTCCAGTCAATTGACCTTGGAAAACTTGAAAAGTTGTCAAAACAAAAATAATTGATCATGCTAAATCAAATGGTGATACTTTTCTTTTGCAGTTTCAAAGCGACTTGAAACCATTTTTTCAAGAGTTTTAATACTATATAGTAGAAATTTTTTACAAAATTTTAAAGATACTAAAACAGTAGTCTCAAGTTGTTTCGAAACAGGAAGCAAACATCATCATGCGAATTAGCATGATGAATAACCTAATGTCTTGAACTCTTTCGAAATTGTTCAAGGCCGATTTATTAAAATCGTGGGTGCTGAGAAAACTCTTGTTACTCTTGAACAAACCATGCTACAAAGTTAGAGTTTGTGTAGATCGAAAAGTGAGATGTTTTTTTTCCGATCGATGGATCATGTTCCATGTCAAAATTCAATGAGCAATGACTTCTGAATATCTTTTTTCAAAATCTCCATAGATACATCATCTAATTTACCAGTTGTCGACCAATCAATTTTCGATGGTTCAGAGACTTCTGTTTTGAATGAAGGAAAAAAGTCAGGTCTCTATATTATTTTTATCAAATCTTATTCAAAAAAAAACAGTCAGCTTCATCGCTTTTTGACAACAAAATTAGATTAAGATATTAACCTAAGAATAATTTTAGTAAGTATGTTGTAGATTTCCAGGATGACATTTGCTAAGTATAGACTTTGTTTTTTTTTCTATTAAACGATTATGTTTACTTTGAGTGTGAGTCAATAAAATTTATTATGTTTCTCTTTAGAGCTATTAATGAAGAAAATAGTGAAGCAAATAATATAAAAAATCGTTTAACAAATCAATGGGGTAAAGTACCAGATGTAGCTCGTTATTATAAGGTAAACAAAAAAAAGAAAATCGAAATATATAATATTATGAATAATTTTTACTTTTTAAATTTATATAAAGAGTAAAAATACTCCATGGATTGTAATTGGTGATGAAAATTATGGTGAAGGTAGTAGTCGTGAACATGCTGCACTTGAACCAAGACATCTTGGTGGTCGTGCTATTATTGTTAAAAGTTTTGCTCGTATTCATGGTAAATAAAAATTTTATAATTATTATTTTATATTTATTTTTTTATTTTTTTAGAAACTAATTTAAAAAAGCAAGGTTTACTTGCTTTAACATTTGATAATCCAAGTGATTATGATAAGATAAAGCCAGATGATAAAATTTCATTAGTTGGCCTTAATAAATTAGCACCGAATGAAGTAGATATTAAATAAAAATTTAAAAATTCAATGTTTTTTTTTTGTTTTTTTATTTCTAGCCTGTCGAATGTCGTATTAAACATGCAAATGGTAAAATTGAAACAATTAAACTTAATCATACATTTAATGAACCACAAATTGAATGGTTTAAAGCTGGATCAGCACTTAATGCCATGCGTACTTATTTTGCATCACAAAAAGAGCAAAAAAAAGCCTAGAAAACGCAACAACTTAATCCTTAGATATCACTAATAAAACTATTTTTTTTTTTTTGTCACAAGAAAAATGTATATCCATATCTTTTTGCGAACATTAAAATATTTAGTCATGGATATTTTTCAGTCCCTATAGCTAGATTGTTTTCGTCTTTTTCTTTTTTGTCGAATTAATATAAAGAATAAACATCAACTGTTGGTTTTTAGATTCTTTATTTTTTTGTATTTTCTTTTTGGAAATCTATCAATGGATGCATCATCACCTTCAACATCAAAAATTTTACATCAAACTCAATTAAGAAATTATTTTGTTGCAGCTAATAATGGACATGAGTTAACAACTGTTGTTGAACCGAATACAAAAATATGTGAGTATGAGGATACTGATGTCGTGGCTTCCTATAGTGTACATCCAGGTGTACCGATTTCAAGTAGAGTAAAATAATTGAAATTAGCCTGGAAACAGTATTATCGATGAGAAAATCATTTGGGAACCGCGCCTAGTAAGTTTCGTGAATCTGGTATCGATTATCAAAGAAATCTTTTAATTTAAATGCGTAATTTTGAGAAAAAAAAACAAATAAAAGCTTCCGTTAAATTAATTTTCGGAAACATCGATTGCAGATGTAATCCGATCGGTTGATAAGAAAACTACTCAAAATAGTACCCGTCATTCGAAAGTACATTGAATCTTCAAGGATGCCTTGTCGATTCAGCTTTAAGTATTTATCGAAAAATTAAATAACAGAATTTCGACCTAAATCCTTGCTCATAGATAGGTGTAATAACTCCAGAAGTATCCTAAAAAAGTCCAACTAAAAAAATTATTGGTTTGCCACAATTACGAAGTTTACTTGAAAAATTCAATATCTCGACAAAGGAACATTTCTTTTGTCTGAAACTCTCAGCCGATTCTACCATTCATTCGACCTGTTTATAGGCGAAATTTCAGATGGAAATCCTGTTACTTGATTACGATCACAACTTGGCTTCAGACGCCTATAGGGCTTTTATCCTATCATCGAGATGCGGTATACAAATACATTTTTTATTTCTAAAAATTTTCAACATCTCAAATCGATGTCTGGAAAATGTAACCATTTAGTTTCTTGACAATAAGTTGCTTACCATCGTTCTCTCTCTTTTTTTTTATTTCAAGATTTTTCGAAATTAAGGAAACTTTTTTAAGATTCATTGTAAAATTTCAGCTATCAATCATTGTATCGACATACATCTCTAGTGTCAATTCATATCCACTTAAACTGTGTCAAAATATCTTATTCTATGCTCTCCATCGTCGAGAGAGTGTGAACAAGGATTTCCTTCAAGTTTTTTTGTGTTAAAAAATTTTCATTCTCTCAAGAATGTTTTTATAAGTTATATGGAATCACTAACAAGCCAAAAAAATGTCTTTTTTCTTTTCAAACGAAAGTTATATATCTGTTTGCCACGCGAAAAATACATACTGATCTTGAACACTGAATAAAATGCTGCAAAGAACATAAATAAATTTGACCTTGTGTTGTTTTATTTTTTATTTTTTTTTTTTTGCGTTGCAGTAGATTTAAGTACAACCGAGACAACAGGTAGTGGTAGTGATGATGAGAATATTACACCACCATGGCATAATGAAACGACCATGACAATATCTGCAACACCAGAAAAGACAAAAAAAACACAACAACGAAAAGGTAAATCTATAAAAAAATCATTAATACAAGAAGAAGAGGAAGAAGATGATGAAGAAACAAAAGTTTATAAACAACGACTTAGAAATGTAAGCTATTATTTATATAATACATAATTTAATAAAACATCATTTTTTTAATATAGCAACCACGTAAAGTTTATAATGATGATGAACCAAAACTCAAGCAAACAATTATTGTAAGTAAAGATTTTTTTTTTTTCAAAAAAGTTGTTCGAATCGTAACTAAACGATTATAGTTTTCTATAAGTCAGGAATTACAAAATCAAATTATCAGGTCAAATTTTAGTAAATCGATCGTAACTCGACCACGGAGATGAATCCCTTAAGGTTTTTATTAATTTCATCAACGCGTTCTTATCAGACTAATATAAGCGTAAGCACAGATTATCAGTCCTAACAGTTCTCTCATCGGTGTATAAAAGAAAACAGTTCTTTTCCTCTTAGAAAACAATTTCAAATCTTTGATAATATTTAATAAATACATAAATATTCATTTTAAACAATAGGATGCTGGACAAAAAATGCTCGATGCTATTATATGCAAACGTTGTGGTATGGCTTATTTTCCACATTCAGCTGAAGATAAAGCAGCTCATGCAAAATATCATAATTATACAACATCTGCTATACGTTTACGTGTAAGTGTTATAAGAATGATACTTGAAAAGAAAATTGAAATTTTTTTTTTTTTTTGATTTTCTTTGATTTTTCAAGAATCTTAAACATCAACATATATTACAACAATTTCTTGATGGAAGTATTTATATGATTGGTTGTACATCACCATCAACTGAACAAAAGAAAGCTGAACATGTTAGAGAATTAATTGATAATGAATTAGGAATTACAACACCATTTAATTGTTTATGGAGTGAAACAAAAGTAGGGACAAAAAAGAAATTTATAATTATTTTAATGATTAAACTTTTGTTTTTTTTTAAAGGCATATTTTTATATTGAAGATTGTACTGATATTGTTCTTGGTTATTGTCTTGCACATATTGTTCATCGAGTAAATTTTATTTTCTTTTTATTTTAAATAATATCAATTTTTTTCTTTTTTCGTTTTCAAGGTTCATGTACTTGATTTAAATGATGAATCAAATATTGATACACAAACTGAAATGAATAAAATGCTTTGTGGCATAGCTCGTATATGGTCACATCCTGATCATCGTCGAGCTCGTATTGCAACAAAATTACTTGATTGTGTTCGGTAATGATTGTTTTCGATTCTAACAACAAAAAAAAAAACAAAGAAATTCTAACAATGATTAAACTCTCTTCTCTAACATAGTTGCCTATTATTGATTGTAATCTATAAATAGTAACCTAAAAACAAAAACGGTAGGTCTTTTTTCATCATCGATTACGTTTTTTATTAGAAAACAAGATTCAAAATTTTACAAAGAAAAGTTTATTTTATATATATGTATCTTTTGTTTTAAATAGAAAAGAACGAAAATTTTATCTAATCAATGACTAGTATAATTTTGTCGATAAGTTTTGACTACAGTAAAACTTTATCTAATAATATATGTCTTATCAAGTTCTACGGCATACTGTTAACATATCGATAGGTAGTGTCACCTATCAGGATGTCAAGGATATACAGAGTAGAACTTCATACTACATGTATTATTTGATAAGGGAGGTCTCTCTTTACATGCTTACTGTAGTGAAAATCTAATAATCACCTTTCATCACTGCGAACAAGATCATTTTTTTTTTTTGGTAAACGATCAAATGGCTTTTTTCTTTTATCGCATTGATCAAAGAAATTTCTATTCATTGACGACAAATGCTTTTCATCAATACGTTTTTTATGTTTCCTAGCCGATAAAAACCAGTCGAATGAGAAGACATAAATTAATAAGCAATACATTTTATTATGTGATAAGATTTTTCTAGAAATGTTTCTTTTCTTTTTTTTTTTTTCTTACATCTCTAATTGTATTTGAATATGATGAAATATTATCAAATGAGCATTATATTGAAGTAGTTTTTCAATATCGACAAACTAAAGATAAAAGGTTGTTGATCGACAATGTCATCGATCAATAAAACAACGCAATTTTTCATATAAACACGATTGATTAATAAATAATTCTAATCTCAAAATTTTGAATAATTATGTATGGAACAACATCACTAATAATAAATAATAGAAAAATATAAAACAAAAAAAAAGAAAAATCATAATTCTTTATTAGCTGAAATAATAAAAAAAGAAATTCCCTGCATACTATAAATTAATCATGTTTGTAGCATTGAAAATTAATCGAATAGAATTTGGATATTTTTTCTATTGAAAATAAAAGGGCATATATAAGAGAAAGTTTTTCTTTGTATATTTTATAGTTATATATGGTATATTGTGTTTTCTAATAATATCTATTAGGTGATGAAAAGATGACAGACAACAAAGGCGGCTATGTAGTATAATCCAGTTGTTATATAGAAGTCAAGACAAAAAAAATAGCTTTGTTATTTCAATATATTAGAAATAATCTCTATATATAATAGAATTTTTTCAATTGTCATTCAGAATTTGAACTTATTATTATTGATTAACTGAAATATCATTAAGTTATTAATTTGAATTCTATTTTTAATATAATTGAGATATAATCTTCTTATTATAAAAATTTCATTTGATAGTAATATTATTTTGAGTAATAGAAAAGAATAATAGTTTTTGTTTGATAAAAAAAAAAAAAATAATAATAATAAATCTGATTGATCATGTTTCTTTTTCTTAGAACAAATTTTTTCTTTGGTATTGTTATTAAACGTGCTGATTTGGCTTTTTCGGCACCGACCGATGATGGACGTCAGTTTTTCAAGAAATATACACGATCAAATCGTTTATTTATCTATTGAAAATAGAAAAATAAGATGATAAAACTGATATTTGTTTGTAAATTTTGTCAGATAAATAATATTGTCTTGTATTTTCTTATTATTTTTTTTTTGTCTCTGGTCTATATTGTGTCAGATATTATCTTATTTTTGTGTTTCTTTAATTGTATATTGTCTCCAATAACAATATTTTTTGGCATCTGATAATAGGAAAATCAATTCATAGAGAAATATATCTACATCTACATCTATATCTATATATGAAAAACAAAATTCTTTTCATTAGTCTTCTTTTTTTTTTCCTTTAATGATATTCTGATAAATTTTTATGAATAAGATGAACATGCATAATAATGTTCATTTCCGTAATTTGACACTTTGAAGAATATCATCTATGCATCATAAAGCATCAATTCATTCAAATTTATTTATGGTATTGAAAAGAGAGAAACAATGGAATATTAAGTACATCATGCCTGGAAGCAGATAAAATCTAACAGGAAGAATACATAAATGGTAAAACAAAGAAAAAAGAATGTAACATATTGCTAGAAAGAAAATTGTTATTTTTCGGAAGTCAGGTGACACGTTTTCCCTATGGGTTTTGATGAAAGAAGAAATATCACAGCTGTCGACCAATGCGATCAACACACAGCTTAATAAATGACATAGTTTTTGTTTGCTATCGTTGATGATTTATGGTTTGTGGTCTATATTTTAAATGATTTATTTATTAATTTATAAACTAACAAATATTTTCTTAAAATTTCAAATACATTTATTTTTCTTAATGAGCTTTAATTAAAATACAAAAGAAAAAAAGATTATAATTAATTATATGTATACATATAATTCTAGATTTTGATATTTGTTTTTTTTTTATTTCTTCAATTCATTCCATGTTAATATCCGATCCAATTGGCAATGACAGTTGTCGATGAATTCGAACTCCTCCATTATCGAAGGTACAGTCAAAAAAAAACACAACAAAATCAAACATATGTTATTATAAATCAAAAAACAAATATCATTTTCTTTCTATTATTTTTCTTTTCTTCTCTATGATAAAAGTGAAAGGATAAGTATGTAGATGTACATCATATATTCAGCAGGTGTTTTCTGACTAACTGATCGGATATACATGTATATAAAGACTACTTGATTATTGACATATGTACTACATTACATAGAAAACATTTTTTTTCTTGCTTGTATAGACCCGACAAAATGAGCCTCCCGGAATCTCAATCAATGCATTTGTTCTATGTCAAAGGAAAAAAAAAAAGGTCTTCATATTCGTTCCTATTTTTTTTGTCAGTAAAATCATCGTGCAATCTCTAGACAGTAATTACGTATAACATTAATATGAAGACTAGAATATATATATATATATAGATAGATGATTGCTCTTGTTATTTCTTTCAACAGTAAGCTGAATATAAACGTGAGGATGCTAACAAATACTATTATATAATCCATCTTTATCTTTTATTTTCTATTCCTATGATAAAAACTAAGTAATAATAAATCGACATCAACCACTTGGCATATAACACGTGAATTAATCGCAATTCATTTGAGATAAACATTTTATTATTGTTATTACTAAGGTCTGACTTCATTAATAAATTGGCTTTTTTTTATCGTTCCTAATATGAGAGAAAAGATCAATGTTTTTTTTACGTATTCCAGTAGGAATTATGATATGTTATAAATAAAACATTTGTTTTTTTTTTCTTATATTATAGATAAACAAGTAGATCGTCAATATAGAATGATGGAATCAAGTTTGACGTCAAGTTTTCTTAAAATTGGTGATACAGTAGCTTTATACGCTGAAGGTACTGTTTGTGGCTTTATAAGTACACTTGGGTATGATTGTTTATTTATTTATTTATTTTCATATAAACATTACAAATAAATCTTAATAGACTTGTTGATGATCGTTGTGTTGTTCAGCCTGATGCTGGTGATTTACAAAAACCACCAAAAAAATTTCGAGGTAAAAAAAAGAATTCTTTCTTTTTTTTTTTTCTACAAATTAGATTATTATTTATTTTTGAATAGATTGTCTTTTTCGTATATGTCCCAGTCATCGTTACAGTGCTCAAGCTCAATATTGGAATGCATTGAAAAATTCTAGTAATATTCGAGATATAAAAAAATTACAAATAGCTGCTGATACAGAAAAACGTCAAAATGAAGCTGAAAGTCGAAAACAAACTGGAACAATTATTAAATATGGTGATACTGTTGTACAATTACTTCATATAAAAAGTAATAAATATATAACTGTTAATAAACGTTTACCAGCTATTTTGGAAAAAAATGCAATGCGTGTTTCATTGGATGTTAGTGGTACAGAAGGTTCATGGTTTCAAATTGAACCTTATTATAAACTTCGTGCAAAAGGAGAACGAGTATATAGTTTTATTGATTATTGTCTATCAAAAATGAAATTAAAAAAAAAAAAATATCTGAAATTTTATAGGTCGTTGTTGGTGATAAAGTCGTTCTTATGCCTTATAGTGGTGGACAACCATTACATGTCAGTGAATTAGAATTACCTGATAATCCTGGTTCAAAAGAAGTATGTTAAAATCAAAAATGTTATTATTTTTTATAAATTCAAAGCAGAAAAATAATCAAAAAAAAAAAAAAAGAATTCATTAAAAAAAAAAATAAAACTTACTCTCTTGTAGTGTTGCAGTATTATTAATCTTCACACGGTACTAATTAAACTGTTTATTGACAAAAAAAGAAAAATTTTTGTATTTGTTTTTGAAATTTTGTTTGAAGTGACATGGAAAATATTAGCTTATATTATGCATGTGCATATGATTGAGTTTCATTTTTATTTATTATTTAGATCAATTGCCATTCATATATTATAGTACGTTTGATATTGTATCTATAGCTTTATTATTTTAACCAGATATACATATAATGTTCTTTTTGTGTGTATAATAATTGAGTGCTTTTTATTTTGCTTATAAGTAGATCTTTCAGGCGCCCTACAATGTGCTTTTCTGCATGCCAGGCAGACGTATGAATTTTTTTGTCCAGAAATAATTGGATATGACGCAGAAAAGCATATTTAAGGAAAAAAAAAGCATTTTTTCAAGAAAATTGGTTTATATTATATAGTATTCGACGCAGTTTAATGCGTCTATTTCGAAATATTACTATTATTTATCAATTAAATGTTGTTCTAAAGCTGAAAAATCTAAGCTTCTTGTAAATTCACTCTGCAATTCAGGAATATTTATTTGACAAGATTAGACGTTCGGACTATATTAGAACAAAAAATATATTAATTTGTTCTTCTCAGAAGTTCAAAAATACAAATTAGAAAAATATTTTTTTACAGTTGTATAGAACTTGATTTAAAGGTTTACAAAAATATGATTGATTTGTCTATCAAATAGCTTAATTTCGTCCGATATTAATTTTCTGTTGACATCTCAATTTTCAGACTAATTTTTTTTGAGGAATTATTTTATCAGTTTCTTTAAGACTTATAATAGATTTTTCCATATCATTAGACAGTCTACATTTAGATGTTGAAAAAGTGCGTTTTATATTTTTAGCTAAATGTTCGCCTAAATGCACTCAATGCCATGCCCATCTTGTCAAAAGTCTATTTTTATTTCAGACCAGTCGATCTCTTTGAAAATCACAGGAAATATGGGTCAAAAAGTATATTTTCATATGTCCTAGATTTTTCATCAAAATCTAACAGCATAGGTCTTAGATTTGACGTAAAAGCGCTAAATAGAGGTCGATTTTTTTGAAATTCTTCTTTATTAATTTTCAACGTCAGTTTTTTTTTTCACAAAAAAAGAATATTCTTACAGAAAAAGATGTAATGTTCTCAAAAACTAAGTTAAAAATAAACAATTCTGTTCAGTAAAGCTGTGCAGTACAATTTTTTCTTCAATTGAAAATCTTCTTGAACGTTCATAACATGTAATATAATTGAGAAATTTGGGATACACAAGTAGAAAAATGACAAACAAAATTTGTGATTGAAAATCAATGTTTCTGTTTAGTAAAATGATAAAGTAAACATATTGATCGTAGTCTACTATATGTTGTCGACTATGGCAAATCAAATGAAGACTTGCTCGTACTTGTACAGCGTCTAAATATCGGAATCTAGAAGAAAAATTGTCAAAATAATTAAATAAATACCGGTAGGAAAAGAAATACAAAATACAAGTCCACTTGATTGAAAGCTTTTGTAGTGCTTGTTATTTCACACATTTTTGTTAGATTCCTCACTATTATAGAATACATTAGAAAAACTTCACAAGGTAACAAAAACTAACATTTTTCAATCATTTATAAAAATCGTAAAAAAAACATCAGAATTCTAATTAATAATATTGTTTTCTAAAGTAGACAACAAGGATTTTGCAACCACAAAAAAATTCTAAAATCGATGTTTTTTTTTTTAATGAAAATCGTAATTTTTCACCACTAAGACATTTAAATCATTTTTCATATTCAATATCATATTAGATACAAAGAAAACAAAAAAAAAGCGTCTCTCCAATAAAGATCTACTTAGAAAGCAAATTATTAACTTCTAAAATGAACAAAATAATGCATAGTTACCATTATTTACATTATCACTATTTATCATGCACGATATCGCATTCTTTTTTTTTCCCTAATTTATAACATCATTTTATATTGTGTGTTTTCTTTTTTGAATATTTTTCAATAGGCTAATTCTCATCTTCAAACAAGTTGGAAAATTGTTTTATTTATGTCTTGCCATGAAGCAACAAATGAAGTATTAAAAAGTGTACGAAAGTTTTGTTTTTTGTTTTCGAAAAGCAAAAAAAAAAAAGATTTATTATTTTTTTTTGCAAAAATTTAGGGTGATATTGTACGTTTATTTCATGCTGAACAAGAAAAATTTTTAACCTGTGATAATTATCGAAAAAAAACTGTTGTCTTTTTACGTGCAACTGGTCGTGCATCAGCAACATCAGCAACATCATCAAATGCTTTATGGGAAATTGAAGTTGTACAACAAGATCCATGTCGTGGTGGTATTGGTCATTGGAGTTCATTATTTCGTTTTAAACATTTAGCTACAGGACAATATCTTGCTGCTGAAGTTGATAATGATCAAACATTTGATGCAACACGACAAAAATTACGTGGAGCAACAAGTACACCTGTATTTGCACTTATACCTATTCCACATGCATATGATATATCATCTTTATTTGAACTTGATCCAACAACAATAACACGTGATGAAGATCCTGTAGCATGGGGTTCATATGTACGTTTACAACATATATGTACAAATACATGGATACATTCAACAAATATTAAATTAGATCCTGATGATGATAATGTACGTTTTAAAATTGGTTGTGCTTTAATGAAAGAAGATAAAGAAGCATTTCAAATTGTACATGTTTCACCAGATGAAGTACGAGATTTAGATTTTGCTAATGATGCTGCACAGTATTTGGATACAACTGCATCAAAATGGGAAAAACATGGAATTATAAATGCACATGCTAATGAAAGAAAGTAAGTCTTATAAATTAAAATGCATTTATTTGAAAATTATCTATAAGAATAAATAATTTTTGTGTAATTACTTTTGAAAAAAGTTGTTAAGAAATAAATTTGATTATTTCATATAGTTTATCATGTATTATACATAAGAATTCATTCATATGACGATTTCAGTTATCATGTGATATAGGATACTGCCTAGTGGCAGATTTAATAGTTCGATATTTTCTCTAAAACTAATATTAGTTGTAGTTCTCGAAAGAAGGTTGATTTGACATAGAATTCTTACGCTTCCCACACACACACCTACTAATCACAAGAATAGATGTATGTCACAACATACGGAGTATACTATCAAACGGATGATATGAGACAAACAGCCGTTAGTAATATGTCTAGGGTCATTCCACACTCTAAAAACAAAAAAAAATTTTGTTACACAGAGTTTAAAAAGATTCTTATCAAAGATATAAAATCGAAATCTTTTCAGGTTCTATAACAAAAATCTTTTATAAAATACATAGTTGATAGTGCTAACTTTTGCACACACAGCACCTTGTAGATACGTATCGAACAATTGTAGCCATTCATCCATGTACTCAAATTAAAATTGAAAAATATTACTATCATAATATTCATCTTTGTTGATATGTCGAAAATATAAATAGGTAGTTTTGAGATGGATTACGAAAGAAAACGCTCAAAGAATCTACTTTAAGAAATTCAAAAAGTTCTGTTTCTACTAAAATTTTCTAACTGTATGTATACCGACTTCGTCCTAAAAAGATTAAGTTATATTATTACAATGAGGATTCATGACAAGTACATTTCTTTTATCATTTTAAATAAACCAAGTATGATCAAATGCATTGGAAAATTTCTTGTGCTATATATTCCTTTGTAATTCGAAAGGCTTAATTACATAGAAAAAAAAACTAAAGATAGTAGGGTGTGGGTGTGGGGTGTGGGGTGTGGGTGTGGGTGTGGGTGTGGGTGGGTGTGGGGTGTGGATGAGGTGAAGAGACCCTTACCCACACCCCACACTCCACAACCATACCCACACCCACACCCACACCCACACCCTTCCTTTAGCAAGCAAATAACTCATCACAATTAGATGTATATGGGACCGATTTCAGTTTCGGTCATCGAGGCAGAGAGCAAACAGGCTTGTTTCCGTACATCTCTACTCATAATACGACTTTTGGCATTTGTCGAAAGTTAATACAGAAAAATTCATGCTATGCACAGTACTGTATTTTAAAATACATTCTATATGTCTTAACATTTTTTTATTGTAGGCAAACGATGTTATTATTAAGTGATATAGTTTATTTTCTTGCTTGTCAAGTAAATAATGGAAGTGATGCATTTGATGTTCAAATTTCAAAACCGAATCGTGAAAGACAAAAATTAATTCGCGAACAAAATATTCTCAAACAAGTATTTAGTCTTCTTCTTTACTTAAAACTAAAAAAAAAACAAACTTTCTTTTTGTTTTTCTAAGTTATTTCGAATACTTCGAGTATTAAAACCACGTTTAGAATTGGAGCGATCAAATACAAAATCAATAAAAGTTTCAGATTATTCTTCTACAAATTCTACTCCAATGTTAAATAATGAACAATTTATTTCATCTTCACATCAACAAGATGTTGATGCACGTCATTCAACAATAACACATCAAATAAAAACAATTTGTCGTCTTTGTTATCGAATACTTAAACATTGTCAACAAGAATATCGAAAAAATCAAGTAAAATTTAATTTGATTTTTCTTTTAATTATTCTAAAAAAAATAAAATTCTTGTTTTTATTGTTTATTAAGGAAACTATTGCAAAAGAATTTTCATTTATGCAATCTCAAATTGGTTATGATATATTAGCTGAAGATACTATAACAGCATTATTACATAATAATAAAAAATTATTAGAAAAACATATAACAGAAAAAGAAATTGATACATTTGTTAGATTATTAAGAGAAAAACGAGATTGCAAGTAAGAATTTTAATTTTATATTTTAAATAAAAAAAAAAAAAATAATTTTTTTGCTTTTTCTTTCTTAAGATTTCTTGAATATTTATCAGATTTATGTGTATCAAGTAATCAAGCTATAGCACGAACACAAGAAATGATATGTAAATCAGTATTAGAAAAAAATTCTGATATTTTAATACGAACAAAGTTTGTTATTAATTTGATATAATTACTTTTTTTAGAAATTTTGTTCTTTTTTTTTTTAAATTCATTTAAATAGACTTGAAATAAGATCCTGTGTTGAAGATATGATTTTAGATGATAATACAAGTTCACCAATTGGTTTATCAAGTCAAAATATGTTACAAGAAGTTCGATTATCATGGGATGGAAAATCAGAATCAATTGAATATATGGCTGGTGTTGTAAGAGATCAACCTTCACATAAAAGACGAGAAGAATTTAAAAATATGCTTGAATATTATAGGTAAAAATATGAATATGTGTATATACTTCTGAATCAAAGTCTAATAAGATGTTTGAATGATATATATACTCAAAACAGTCTATAGTTTCATCGTAAATATTACTAAATAACTAAAAATTGAACTAATATAAAATAATTCGAAATAACGAGAGAAGTATCCCCGAAGTGTCCAACTCTATTTTGATTCATTCACACCACATTCGATAGACTATATTGAAATAAGGAAATGTCTTAATAGGTTTAAAACTATGAGCGAAGACTTATAGTTGGACGTGATTGTTGTAGGTATGCATCACACCCATACCCTCAATAAAATGGATATAAATTTCTCAGGAAAGTCTAGAATCTCTTATATTTTTGGAATACAAGTTTTCTGAGTACGAGCAAAAAATGAGAGGTTAAAAGCTTCGAATCATTATGAATAGAATCCTTTCGCTATTTATAATCTTATATTATTGATCTCAATAATCGATAAAGTAACTTATCTGTAGTCTTTTTTAATTTCATAAAAATCTTCTTCATTCGTAGAATATCTTTCCTCCGAAAATATTTCTAATTTGTATTAATAAATAATTTGAACTCTTAAATCTTTATCTAGAGATCAATTAAATTTATTTTCTCATATGTGTTTCGATCGACAATATTTAGCAATTGATAATTTGTCAATAGAATTAACAATTGAACTTATTCTAACGTAAGTTATTGCGTTAGAATACTTTTCCCTACATACAAAAAACAAAAAACTTCATCTATTAAGATGTATAAAAAGTGAAAATCTTCCATCAGATTTACGTGCAGCATTTTGTCGTCTAATGATTCATATACATGTTAATCGTGATCCACAAGAAGAAGTAACACGTATAAAATATGCACGATTATGGAATCAAGTTAAATCAACTATATCTTTAAATGAGTAAGAAAAAAAAAAAACAACAAGCAAAATTATTTAGTTTTTATTTATTTTCGAAAAACAAAAAACATGATATATCTTTAGTTATGATCAAACCATCAATGGTTCACTTGAACCAACAGAAAAAAATGAAAATCGAGTAAAATTTGAATCAACAATGAAATTTGTTGAAGATTATCTTAATACAGTTGTTCAACAACCAAATTCATTTGCTGATAGAGAACAAAATAAATTAACACATGAAGTAAAAAAATTTTTATTTTATAAAAAAAAAAAAACTATCTGTTTTTTTTTTTAAATTCATTTTTTCTAGGTTGTTAATTTAGCTCGGCGTTTAATTTTCTTCGGTTTTTATAGTTTTGAAGATTTACTTAAACTAACAAAAACACTTCTTGGTATATTAGATACAAGTAAAATTATAGATAGAAATATAATTAATCCACATTCAGAAAAAAGTTTGTTTTGATATAAATATTAAAAAGCAAAAACAAAAGTTCGATTTCTATTTATTAGATCCAACAAGTGTTATATCAAATCCAAAATCATCAAAATATGACTCTATCTTTGCTCCAATTTTATTTACTGTAACAGATACAACTACAGAACAACCAACTGAGACAATTGATGATTTAGCTTATAAAACAAAAATGAATATTATTGCAATTCTTGAATTTATTCTTGATATTCGACTTGATTTTCGTATTTCTCGTCTTATTTCCATGTTTAAACAAAAATTTGATCATCTCGGTATATATAAAGATATATCTTATCTAATTAAATATATTATTTTGATTTATTTAGAATCAATATCAAATTTACTTCAAATAACTGATATTGAATGTATATTTGATTCTAATGAACCAAATCTTGATTTAGATGATGCAAAAGGCAAAACATTTCTTAAAGTTTTACTTAATCTAATTATGCATGATTATCAACCATTAGTATCACGTGCTTTATCATTACTTTTTCGACATTTTAATCAACGTAAAGAAACATTACAACATTTAAATCAAGTACAATTACTTGTTAGTGAAACTGATGTTGAAAATTATAAACAAATCAAACGAGATTTAGATCAATTAAGATTATTTGTTGAAAAATCAGAATTATGGGTTTATAAAAAATTAAAAGATGGAACAGTAACAACGGCAAATGAAATTGAAATTAATATTGAACAAGAAGATAGAAAAAATGACGAATTACAAATAAAGGTATAGATTAATATATTGTTAAAATTAATTAATCATATTTGATAATAACTATCGAACAGAAATAGAACTGACTTAAGCTTCTAATTAGCGATCAGTCTAACGTCTATATCATTTGCATCTCTAGATATTCGTATTTGATATGATCAACATCTGTAATTCCCTAATGCGAAGGACAAAACTTTAAAGTACCTAACATTTTATCAACATCCCATTATTTAATAATCATTAAAACATCTTTTATATATCTTTCGATGTAGAAGTGAATGAGCTAAACTTTCGTAAAAACTACTCTTTAATATTATCAGTATCAATTAATTTATTATTATAGCTGATTAATATTTATTAACAATTATAGCAAAGTATTTTTTTAACTATGTAAGAACATCATTAGAAAGAGCGTTAAATCTAAACAAAACTGTATATTATTTGTGTCAAGAGGATTCGCTCTAGTAAGATAATGATCAGGTTAGTGGACTTCATGGGTTACTGTTAACATCTTGTAACTTAAACTTTCGAAAGATGTTTTCTAATTCAATTACCACATTATTAGTTTCATGTAGACATTCCTACTAATCGCTAATTTTTGGAGTGTAGATGTCTATGAAAGTGAAGACTCACACCAGTGACCGGCTAGTTCCATCTTTGGTATTTACATTGAAATTGAATTAATTAGAATCAGTTTTTGTTTTATTACAATTTGTCTATTTTAATACATTTATATTAGAATATCTCCATATTCTATATTGATTAAAACGATACTTTCACTTAAATATTATCAATCTTTTTGTTTTCTTTTTTTTTTTTTTTTTATTTAAGAAATTCGCAAATTCCTCTGGTTTAACTGATACAGAATGGGATAATGGTGGTCCGATTATCAATGAAGAATCAGCTTATCGATATACATCGATTTTTCAGGTGAGTAATGCTTATTAAATTCTTTAGACTTCAAAGAATCAACTGTAAAATTCAATCACTTTGCTTACTAATTACTCAATGATTTGTTAAATCGTGAGACTTAAATCAAAAATATAATATTATACATAGACTTCTTTTTCTTAATACATCTATTTTAATAGGGCATACATAAATTTATTAACATGGTAATGAGAATTTCATAAATATATACATTTGCTATCTACATGTCATATTTCACTTCTTTTTTCTTTTCTTATTACTCTCAATTGAAATACTGCTTTATTATTCATATATATATATATATGTGTGCACATCTATATTAGAAATAGATAGAAATGTTATATTCTTTTCTTGAATTTGGTTTTGACTTGCAAGATATGTCTTTTTTTGATCAATTATTTTGCAGACAATGTCATAAATTTTTTGCATTCAAAAAGAATACACAAGCATGCATTTCTTATTCATTAGCTTATGCATGTGATTTGAATAATATTTATTTTGAAAGACAAAAAAACAAAATTATTAATAAAATAATAAAAATGATATATTTATTTAGATTCTTTGTCGAATGATGAAATTATGTGTTGTTGAAAGTAATGATGGTACTTTATATGCACGTGAAAATGAACAACGTTTATTAAGAAATATGGGTGTACATGTTGTTGTACTTGATTTATTAAAAATTCCATATGATAAAGTAAAGTCAATAACAAGAAAAAAAAAAAAATTTTTTTATATTTATTTATTTTTAGCTGGAAGATACTCGAATGAATCATATCATGAAATTAGCTCATAATCTTTTACAATATTTTTGTTATGAAAATCCAACAAATCAAACGAAATTATATGATTTATATTTTAGTGATTATGCACAAATATCTGAGGTAAACAAAAAAAAAGAATGAAATATAACATAGAATTATTTCAAAATTCTTAAAAAAGATCAAAAGTTAAAACTACTTAGGGAAATTTCTTAACTGATTAATCGATTTCAAATTAGAAGGAAAGCAGAAAAAAAGAATATTCCTATCTTACGGTATGGAGCGATGCCTAGCAGTAGATTCAATAGTTCGATATCTTCCATACAACTAATACCAGTTGTAGCTCTGAACAAAAAGTCATTCTGATGCAAAGTTCTTGTGTTCTCCATACACGCTAATTGGATAAAAGAATATATGTATGTCACAATATAGCCATCATATTATTGGATGGATGATTTGAGGCAAAGAATCATTAATGGACTGCCCAGAGTCATTCCATGCCTAATGATACTGAGGTTTGAACACAGCATCTTGTGGATACGTGATGAGTAATGCAGCCATTCAGTCATAGCGGCTTCTTGAAAAGGAACAATGAGCATCACGTAGATCCTAACTCATATACACTATTAGATTCGACGATCTTATTTCAGGATAGGAGGAATTTTAAGAAGTGTAAAATTTTTATAACAAACTATTGTCTTTATAGTCTATTGTTGTGCAAAATTTCGAGCTGAAACTTGAAAATCAGTTTTTTTTCGGAGTTCTTAAAGAAGACGTACAACTTTTATTCAAAAAATACTGTAAAAATGCAACATCTCGAACTCTTATCACTATATTCATAACTAGACATGTACCGAACCCCAACGGTTTCTACTTGCTGAACTCGATCCAACAAGTTTGAACTTGAGCTTCATGCTTGCTGATTGAAAAGCGATTAAATGATGGAAACGCAAAAAAAAAAACTTATCTTGTTCATATCTAATTAGGAACCAGGGCCAATAAAGATTGGTCAGAATCATATCTAGTTATGAGTCGATATCAGTATTAAATATCTGTATATTGATGAGATTGATTACTTACTCAATTCTTTATCATTATGATTACTTTTTATTTGTAATAGGAACAAGAAGTAGAAACATGCTGTTATATATTTCTGAATAATATTCAATTATGTAAAACAATAACTGAAAAACATATTCAACATTTTGTTCATTTAATTGAATTACATGGACGAAAATTTATATATATAAAATTTCTTCAAACAATTGTTAAAGCAGAAAATCAATATATTAAAAATTGTCAAGATTTAATTATGTCCGAAGTAAAAATTTCAAAAAAAAAATAACAATGAAATATATTTATTTTATTTATTCTAGTTGGTTTCTTCCGATGAGGTATTAATGTTTTATGAAAAAGGAAGTTTAAATGATCTTGTTGAACGTATGCAATCAGAAAATGAACGTACAAATCCAAATTCATTATTAAATTATCATATTCAACTTGTTCATTTATTGGCAATGTGTACTGAAGGAAAAAATGCATCAACAGAAATTAAATGTCATTCATTAATTGGTCTTGATGATCTTGTTTTAATAGTAACAGATCCATCTTGTATTCCTGAAGTTTGTATCAAATTGACTTTTTTTGTTTTTATTATTATCAATTTTTTATTAGGTTAAAGATGCTTATATTACATTTTTAAATCATTGTTATATTGATACTGAAGTTGAAATGAAAGAAATTTATAATAGTCAACATATTTATACATTAATTGATAAATCATTTTGTCCGGATATTGAACACGTAAGAATCAACTAATGAAAAATAAATTCTATACAAATATTTTAATATTTATTTATATTTCCCTATGAATACTAAAAAATAAATTTCAACACATAGAAACACTGTTTTAAACTCATCTCATTAAGAGCCACTACAAGCACATCATGACTGATTCTGTACTATAAACGCCATGGTCCACAATACAAATGAGTTTCATGCAAAATTCAAGAGCCTAATTGAGTATCCTTTTAGAAGTATAAGTCAGCAATAACTCCTTGCACGTCCCATAAGCTTCGTCCTTAAATTCCTCTATGGTGATAAGTTATGACTCACAAGGCAATCGTTGTTATTTAGAAAAGGTTGAGTTTCGCATGTACTCTGTCTTTAGAATAGCTTAAATACAAACCGTAGCTGCAACTGTGTATCATACTAAAACGTTTCTCATTTGGGTAAGAAGTTTAGAAAACAATTTTTTTTTAAATTAGTCTATCTGTGCGATATGAAAATATGCTGTTGATTCATTGCAGTTTTAACAACTGTTATAGATGAACTATTTTACTGAATAGATTTTTTATTCTTTGTATGTGAATATGATACTGTATGAAAATTATACTGGTTTTTTTTGTACTCAAGATAATATTAAAAAAAAAAAAAAAAAAACTTCTCTAAAATGATCTGATGAAAGCTAAAGTATTTTAATAAATGATATTCGGCGATATTCTATTTAAAAATAATAAGTATGTAATTGAAGTTTTACAATTGAAATAGCCTCATCTTTGAAAATTTAATTTCGAAATAAGATTTACATCTTCAAATTTATTTGATCTAATTCATACACGATAAAATTTTTTTTTGCTTCTGAAAACTTTTATTTTTTTCTAGTTAACCTACCTCTTTATTTGTTTTTTTTTGTCAATATTTCTAGCTCATAGCATCACCAAGCGACGAACCCTATTTAGAAAAATATGTTTTAAATACAGTTACGGAATTAATATATCAATTTTTCAATTCACCTTTTTTTGAACAATCATCTGTACAACAAGTAAGCAAAATTAAAACATCTTCATCATTTTTATTTATATTCTTATACATAAATAACTTCATGACACAAATAAATTACAAAATAATGTTAAATTTCTATACTTTATAGAAAAGACATATTCAAAGAATTTATTAATATATATATTATACATAAATATATATATTTTTTGTTATAAGTCTATTCAAGCCTATTGAGCTGTAATACGATCTACAAAGAAGTATCAATATCCATCAGAGTGATATATCGAGGGCTAATAGGATCCAGAGATGTCCATCGCGCCGCTGCCGCTGCCGCCGTGGCGGTGGCGGCGCGGCAGCAACAGATTTTTTCCAAAAACGATCGCGGCGCGGCAGTGGCACGAGAGAGATTTTTATTTTGCGGTCGCGGCAGCTTTTTAGGAAAAAATTTCAAAAATTCATGAATTTGCACAGAATTAGCGAATCTGATCGATTAGCGGCATCAGTTCTATTTCAAACCAGTCAAAGCCTTGAAAATCAAAACATTTTTTCGAATACCAGCGCGGCAGCGGCAAGTTTTTTTTAAGGCGCGTCGCGGCAGCGGCGCAGTAGCTTTTTTTAACAGGCCATGGCGTCGCGGGAGCGGCGCGGCAGCTTTGCTTGATTTTGGCCGCGGCGCGGCAGCGGCAGATTTTGAGCCGCGATGGACATCTCTGATAGGATCTACAAGAACATGAGTATAGTTACATCCATACTCTAGTAGATCATAGTAGAATTTGTCGAATTCATTGATACAAATTAATAAAAACTGATCTATTTTAAAATTTACATTTGTTTTAATTCGTAATTCATCTGTGTCATCTAGTGTACATAAATTAATTATTCATATTAAAATAAATGAATATTTTATCAGTAAGATATACTCTTAGGATCATTATATGTTTGATGATAGTGGATCAATTGAGATCTCACCATCAACAATTGTTTCCTCGGAGGTACTTTGTTATGTATAAAAACAAAAAAACACTCATTGAATGATCAAAAATATTACTAACCCAAAAAAAAAAAAAAAGAAAATTCTTATTTAACTTTCACGCATGTTTTAAAAATATTCTCTAATTGCAGATTATGGATAATGTTGAATTTCAAGTAAGACATTAGAATAAATTTATATTCAGCTAAATAAGATAGCAAAATGCTTCAATTATACTTGTGCATGTGTGCAGTGCTGAAATTCATTTTGTTTTTATTTATTTTTGAAATATGAATTTGTGTTTGTTTTTTTTTTTTTCATTTTTCTATCTCTAGCAACGCAATGCAACTCTTGTAACACTTCATAATCAGTTACTACGATTATATAGTGTACCATGGTTAACAACAGTACAACGTGAACGTGTTGATCGATGTATACATATAATATCATTAATTGGTAAAAATTTTAATTTGATTTTTTTTTTTTTTTGTAATTTATTATTATTTATCATTAGCTGATCGACGTGGTCTTATTCATTTTTTACGTTCAAATCATAGTTCATTTAGTGAATCAACAGTACATTCAGAACGTACAAGTCGTAGTGTAACAGCAGAACAACAAAATAGTCATGATTATTTAATGGACGGACATGATCATTCACAAGATATTGAACATAAACGTGTTATTGATGGTTTTGTGGTAATTATTATTTGTTTAATTAAATATTTGATCTTAAATTTTTTTTGTTTTTTTTACTAATATTTAGGCTTTTCTTTCTCAAGTTAGTGTTCGACTTAGTCCATTAATTCAAGCAGAAATAAGTATACTTATCGATGTTATTCGTGCACCTTATGCTCTTTTTTCTGATAAAAATGAATGTCGAATAAAATTTCTTCTTGGATCATTCGTTCATAAGTATAAAATTTTCTTTGTTTTTTTTTTTCAAACATAAACTAATATATTATTAATATATTAGACTAATTCAACATGCTAAATATTTTCTTATACAAACAGATGAAATTCTATGTTTACGTATAATGCATGCACTTAAATCAATGGTTAAATGCAATCATGAATTTGATGCAGTGGTATTGAAAAATTTTTATTATAATTATTATAAGAATTATTTTGTTTTTTTTTTTTTTTTTCATCGATTTTAGGGATTAAGTTTAAGATTAAAATTACTTCGACTTTATTTTTCTGATGATTCACAATATTTAAAATCTCTTCATCAAACATTAAAAGGTATGTTAAAATTGTTTAATTGTTTATATCGAATAAATTTCATGTTCGAATCTTCATTCGAGCAGCATAGTCTCGTTATTGTTCGATTGTCATTATTAATAATCGAATGATTCCATTAAAACTATGCAAAACTAAAAAAGATTTTCACCACTTTTCGACAAATAATCTTTATTTTGTGTGAAATATCTTGAATAATCGACAAATTCAAAATAATAATAATAATAATAAATTTCTTCTTTTATTTAGAAGAAGATGTTATTGAACGATTACGTTTAATACAAAATGAATTAAATCAACAAGGTGCTAGTGATCTTGTTGTTGAATTATTTATAAGTCATTCATCAATAAATATTCTCGAAGAAAGTATTCATTTAGCTATTGCTTTACTTGAAGGTGGAAATACTGAAGTTCAAGTTAGATCTTTTTTCTTTTGTGTGTGTCTACTCATAAAATAAATTTTCATTTTTCTTTAGACAAGTATTTATCGTCGTTTACATGAATGTGAAATAGCATCAGAAAAATTCTTTCAAGTTTTTTATGATAAAATGTATACAGCACAAAAAATATTAAAAAGTACATCATCCATAACAAATGATATTCCTATAGATTATGATGATTTTGATGATATTCTATTTACATCAAAATCTAAGCGTATTTCATTAATACCAAATTCAACAATAAATAATCGACAACTATCACATATATTATCAACTGATGAGAAAGTTAATATTGAATCATTATCGAATCATCCATTTGAATCTCAAATAAATACTAATAATAGTATGTTTATTAAAAAATAAATATTGAAATAAGAATTTTTCTATTGTTTTTCTAAAAAGATATTACTGAAATACAATCTCCACAAGTATTTGAAGCTACAACATTTACTTATCAAGCTTCACCACAATCATATCAAAAAAGAAGTTTAACCCCTGAAACAATTGATATTTTTGATTTTCAGTAAGAATTTAAAGAATTCAATGTTTCATTAAAATTTATATCTATGGTTAGAAAAAAAATTTGCATGAAAGATTCATTTTCGCATGTAACTTAATTAAAGAAAATCATATATGTAAACTATTCTTCTAATATTAATTTTTTTGATAACTATATATATTTGAATCTTTATTTCATAAAACTAACCGAAATCATTTTTTCCACATTTCGTAGATTCTCTAGTTGTTAGATTTTGTTTTTGTCAAAACAAATGACTTATTCTTCAAATATGAAGAAAAACACTTTTAGTACAAAGCAGAAGTCATTAGATATACTAATGTAGTCTTTAGATTTGAAAATCTCGTTATGATCATGATTAATTTCACTTTATGCTACATACTATTTCAAAGATACTGACAAAAAGATTCACATCGACTACAATCATGTGAACTATGATGGATCTGTATATATAAAAGATTCTGTAATATATACTTCAGTTTGAAATTTCCAAAGTACAAGTTTATGATGAAAAATGTTATTCTTTAAATATGATAGTGATTTTGAAAAGAGGACTAAAGATCAGTATCTTAAACTCAATCTATGGCGAATAGAACTTGTTATGTTAGTTCCAGATCTAGACCCGGTCGGGTTTGAAACCTCACTCGAATATATTGAGCCTGATGGATGAGATGTAAATTTGTACCCGTATGCGTTCAGTATTTCGCTCAGATTTTCTTTGACAAAACCTATGTTTAAACGGTATAAAAGAAAATTTGGGGAACATTTGAGATCTAAGATGATCTTTTTGGTTATGTATAACCGATAATGTTTGTTTAAACTACTGACAAAATTTTAATAATTTTAGGGCTCAAAATCGTCGTCATAAGCTTGTATTTGAAATTCGTATAATGCAACCAATATTACGATTTTTACAATTACTTTGTGAAAATCATAATCCTGAATTTCAGGTTTTTCATTTTTTTTTTTCTTATTTTTAGTTTTTTTTTTTCTTCAAAACTCTATTAGAATTATCTTCGAGTACAAAATAAACATAAAACAAATTATAATCTTGTTTGTGAAACATTAAAATTTCTCGATGCTATTTGTGGTTCACAAACAGGTTTACTTGGTTTATTGGGTAATTATATTAATGAAGATAATGTTGAATTAATTAATCAAGCATTAATTACATTAACTGAATATTGTCAAGGACCATGTCATGATAATCAAGATGCAATTGTTAATCATGAATCAAATGGTATTGATATAATTATTGCTATCGTTTTAAATGATATAACACCATTGAATCAAAAAAATTATGATCTTGTACTTGAATTAAAAGTAAATATAATTATATTTCATTTATAATTTATTTCTATTTATTTTTTTTTAGGATAATGCATCAAAATTACTTTTAGCTGTTATGGAAAGTCGTGATGATAGTACAAATGCAGAACGTATTCTTCGAAATATTACTCCTGTTTCACAATTAGTAAAAATAGAAAATGAACATTTGTTTTTTTTTTGTATAAAACTAAATTTTTCTAAAATTTAGCTTGATGTTGGTTGTCAAATCTATGCTCGTGGTAAACAACAAGATATTGAAAGTAAAGAAATTGAAAATAATGAAATATTACATGAAGAAGAAATAAATGATAATGTAAATAATGTTGCACAAACTGTTGGTCATAATATGTATATTCTTACATATCAAGTATATAATTAATATATAGACATAATTAAATATTTTTTGTTTTATCTTGTTTGAATATATATATAGCTTGCTCGTCATAATCGTGAACTTGAAAGTTTAATGAAACAACGAACATTAAATGATGAAGCATTATCTTATTATCATAAACATACAGCTGAAATAGAAATTATTCGACATGATCGATCAATAGAACCAAGTAAAGTTTATATATATATTATATATGAATATTTTATTATTATTATTTATTTAGTTGTATTTCCTGTTCCACAATTATGTGAATTTTTAACAAATGAAAAAAAACAAAAAGTTTTTTTAACATGTGAACAAGATGAACAAGGTTCTAAAGTAAAAGATTTTTTTGAAAAATTTTCTGAAATATTCGAAGAAATGAAATGGCAAAGAAAATTACGTCATCAACCAACATTATATTGGTTTTCATCACAAATGTCATTATGGAGTGATATTGCATTTAATTTTGCTGTTTTAATTAATATTCTTGTTGCTGTTTTTTATCCATTTAATAAAGGTCTTAAAGGTAATATTTTAAATCTATATAATTAAATTTTAAATATTCTATTTGTTTTTTTTTTAAATAAGATCTTGATTCTCGTGCTTCAGCAGCTATATGGAGTGCATTATTAATAACTTTAATTGCTATTTTATTTAAACCAAATAAAACATCAATGCGTATGTTTTTTGTTGCGGGTATTTTAAGATCAATTTATTCAGTTGGTCTTGGACCAACTTTATGGTTAATGGGAGCCATACAAGTATGAAGAATATTATTTCTTTTATTGTTTGGTTATTTGTTTTGTTCTATAGGTATTAAATAAAGGAATATTTTTAGTTAGTTTTATGGGAAATAATGGAACATTTTCAAAATCACGTTATGAAAATTTAACTAATTTTCAACTTGTTTATCATGTTGGATATCTAGGACTTTGTATACTTGGATTATGTGCTCATGAATTTTTCTATAGTTTATTAGTAAGTTAAATGTGGCATAAAATATTTGAAGCTTATTGTAAATCTATATGTTATGCTTTGCAAGAAATATATACTACATATAAATAATTCATGTTTGTATGAAAAATTGAAAGAAATTTTATCTATCATAAAAAAACAAAAATTAGACTGAATTATCGATGTTCAAGAAACTTATGAATATATGAATAAAACATCAACTGAATCGAGCTTGACAAATAGAGCCCGTTGAGTTGGTCATGGACCCGATTTCGAGGCTGGAAGTTTTCTGCAAATCGAGACCCGAAACTGTGAACTCGATGAATCGTATTTGTTTAACAAAAAAAAAGATTTAGGATGTACTAATCACAGAATTCAAAAAAAAACATGTCTCTTTGGCACGGCTATTTGATTTCGATTAGAAAACTTCATTAAGAGTATTAAAGTGTGGTTCGATATGTTCTATTTGTGAAATTTTATTATTAAAACAATAGCCTGTTTTTTTTTTGGAGTCAGGAAAAGAAAAATATTTTCTAATTGTTTCTATGTTTATCAACAAAAGACAAATTAATATGAAATTATTTTGTTTTTCGATATAAATGTTTGATGTTGTATTGTATTCATTCTCTTAGTTGCTTGATGTTGTCTATCGTGAAGATACTTTGTGGAATGTTATTCAATGTGTTGTACGCAATGCTAAATCCGTTATATTAACAGCTGTATTTGCAGTCATTATAATTTATTTATTTGCTATATGTGGTTATTTATTTATCCAAGATGATTTTCTTATGGAAGTACAAGAGAAACCACTTTCAATAGAAAATCATAGTGTAAACATAACATTGAATAATAGAACTAATTTTTTCGGTACGTATGATTAAAAAGTTATTTTTGTTGTTGTAATGCTTCGCTTACATTTTCATGTACTAATTTATATTTTTTGAAAATTTTTTCGAAAAATGTTTATGTTAATATTTATTTTTCCAGTTACTTGATATAATTTTTCGAGATTCAACATTATTTCAAGTTACACAATCAGTAACACGAAATGGAAAATCAATAATGTTAACAATGACATTAGCTCTTATACTTATATATCATTTTTCTATTTTGGGTTTTCTATTTTTTCGTAATGATTTTTTAACAAATATTCAATTAAGAAAAAATTCTATTCAATATCAACGTTCAAGTCATTCACATAAAACAACGATTTTGACGCGTATGTCAATTATTCGTTGTCTTCTAGTGTTATTATTTTTTGTCTTTGTTAATTGTTTTATTTTCATATATTTTTTAATCCATTCTAATGAATTATTCTTATATTTTTTTTTTAGCTTCAATCATTCCAACTACTCATGATAATGGATATTGTACAAAAGATAATTGTACTAATAATACAATAACAGGTCATATTCGTAATGTTACTCAAGCATCGACTATTTTATCAGAAGAAGTAGGAAATGAAGAACTTGAACGTGCTTGTGATACATTATTTATGTGTATTGTAACAACACTCAATAAAGGATTACGAAATGGTGGTGGTATTGGCGATGTATTAAGACAACCTTCTAGTCGCGTAAGTGTTCTTTTCCAATTTTCATGATATTTTTGCCTATAGATAATGTTTTAATAGAAATCCTAAAAGAAATTCAGTTCATATTAAGATTTAACTAAGTTATCGAATTTTTAATTTGTCTATATTTAAGACTAACTTTCATGAAAATATTAAGAAGTTTGAAATAAAGTCTCTGTGAGATATGAAACTTTCAAAAAAAAAAGACTCATGTTTTATATACTATCTATGAAAAAAGATCCGTAAATGACTAACGAGAAGATTCCTTCAATGGTTATGATATTTTTTTAAATAAATGTCGTGCTCTCCTTCAGAAACACCGGAAGAACTAGTTTTCGAATTTCAACTTTAAACTTTGCATAGAAACGGATCTTAACGCGAATAGTTTATTGTTAAAGTTTCAAGACTTTTGATATGTATCTATCATGAAATAAGAACATCAAATCTTATAGTTTATATGAAAGATATGCTATGACTTTACGCATATCTTATGATAGACAAAGCGACAAGATCTACACCATTCGCAAAATATCATCCTCGTTAGAATCTGTCTATATACAAAGTTTTACGTTGAAATTTGAAAATCAATTTTTCTAGTGTTCCTAAGAAAGACCATAACATTTATTTAAAAACGACGATTAAAATGCACTATCTTTGTAGTAATATGCTAAGCGTATAAACTCTTTTCAAAGGATTTTCATTTTGGATCTACATAATGCATATAGTCTCGATTCAAAATCGATTGAGATTCATAAGAATGAAGAATATATTCCCTGGACTGTAGGGAGGGTCATATGAAAAAAAATAGATTGTGTGTATATGTCTGTCTGCATTGGGGTCAAAAGAACATCAGGGTGAAAAAAAACATCCATTTAAATTTCTTTCCTCTAAACGTTGACGAAAGTAAATCGAGGTCGGAGAATCCGAATCTGAAGTTAGTTTCTTAAAATTTTGAATTGAATTTTTTTGGGTTCAGGAGGAAAGGTTTTTTTTTGAGAAAATAAATTTTTTCTCGAGTGTAGGAACGGTTATATGAAATAAAATAAGCTTTTGTCATAGTGGAAGGTGAAACATCATAAAAAATGTTGGCTAAGTATTCAATTCTCGTGCTGTTAATATTGAATTTTCAACCAATTCAATTTTTCAGAATGAAAATTCAGTCAATCTGACATATTTCATAAGTTCTCCCTTAATCAGCTGTTTCATAACTGGGTGTCCATGGATGAGACTTGTATACTTCTGTCTGATACAGTCGAGGGTCAAGTGAGTCGAACCGACGAACGTTACTTGTTTTAATAATACATTCTATTGTCGAGAAATGATTAAAAAAAGAAGCTTTTTGAATAATGAATTTTGTTTTTTAGGAACCACTATATTTCTTTCGTGTTATATATGATATGATGTTCTTTTTTATTGTTATAATTATAACTTTAAATTTAATTTTCGGTGTTATTATTGATAATTTTGCTGATTTACGTACAGAAAAACAAAGAAATGATGAAATACTTCGTAATACATGTTTTATTTGTGGTAAACAAACAAATAATTTGATTATGATAAACAAAAAAAAAATGAATTTCTGTTTTTAAGGACTTGATCGTAAATCATTTGATAATAAACATGTAACATTTGAAGATCATATACGTAAAGTTCATAATATGTGGAATTATGTTTATTTTATGGTTTTAATTCATGTCAAAGATCCAACAGAATATACAGGTCCTGAAAGTTATGTTCATGAAATGATCGAAGTTCGTTATATTTTCTTTTTTTTTTAATGTTTTAATAAAAATGAATCTTTTTTTTTTTCTTTCTAGCAAAGAAATCTTGATTGGTTTCCACGAATGCGAACAAGTAGTTTAGATACTCAAGAAGATAAAACTAAAGAAGAACAAGATAATCGAATATTACGAGTTCAAATGGAAAATGCAAATGAAGCAATAAAAACATTAACAATGGAATTAACTGAATTACAAAAACTAGTAAAATAAATCTTCTATTTTATTATTGAATTAATGATTATTATTTTTTTTTTTTGTATTTTAATGTAATTTTTTAGGTAACAGAATCTCGAGCACAAAAGCATCGTATGAATTTTCTACCAAATTCGTCATTACCAACGCCTTTAAATCCATGATTTATTTTTATTTCTTATTTGATCGTGAATTGTTTTTTTTGTTTTTTATAAATAAAAAGAAAGTTTTTGTTTTTTTTTCTTTTTTCTTATTATTGATAGATATACTTATCAGTAATAAGCGTGCCTTTGAAAAACTTTTATTCATTGTTTTCGTTTTTGTTTTCCTTTTTTTTTTTTTATATGAACTTTATTCTTGCAGTAAGATATTTCATTGTGAGACAAAACAAACACTGAACAATTTTTTTTTTAAATGTGATTATTAGTATAGAAGTTTTGAAATATTAGATCTTATCTGAAACTTTGACATTGTTGTTTTCAGTATTCAAATCTTAACAGAAAGAATATAACTAAATCAGGCATACGCATTTTATTTCTCTTCTTCATTTGAAAAAAATTTCATTTCATTCAATCTAATGTATAAAAACTTCGTTTTTGTTTTTTTTTGATATAGAATATTATTCAATTAATCTCTCCGTTGTGTAAATGTGTAAACTTAAATAAATATAACGGAGGAGAAAGAAACATTTAATTTTCTATCTATGTAAAATGTTAAATAATTAATTTTACTTTGTCAAAATAGCGGAAGTAGAACAGTAAAATTTTTCTCTAAACAACAGACGATAAATGACTTTTTTTTTTTCTATCCATCTAAGAGTATTTTATTGAAATGAGTACTTTAATATATTGAAATTTATGAAATATATGTTAAATAGAAAATCTTAATATGTAGATCTTTGTAATTTCATTTTTGAAATCAAACGAACAACACTATTAACTTAATTTTAGATGATACGCTATCTATCTTTCATTGTAGTTTTTTGTTTAATACTTTCAATTGAAACAACAATAGGACCTGGTAGTCGTAAATCATCAACTCGTTCAACAGAAAAAGTAACAACAACAACACCATCACCATCTGTTCGATCAACTCCTTCACCTTCTCCATCATCATATCAAACATTATCACCAGCAAAAACTAATGTTTTACAACGTAATCTTGTAGAAGAAAATACTAATCCTCAATCAATTCTTGAAAATTATCAATCATATTGTTCAAAATGTTTAGAAACACGAGAATTTAATAATCCAACACTTGTTTATATAACACCATGGAATTCTCATGGTTATGATATAGCAAAAATATTTACAAAAAAATTTGATTATATTTCACCAGTTTGGTTTAATATAAAACGAACAGATTTTGAAAAATATACTATTAATGGTATACATGATATTGATCAAAAATGGATTGAAACATTAAAAGAAAAAAATTCTAATGTACATATTGTACCACGTGTTATATTTGAACAATGGTCTACTGATGATATACATGCATTATTTCAATCGGAAAATGAAAAACAACAATTAGCATTAACATTTGAAAAATTTCTTAATGAATATACAAATTTATTTGATGGTTATGTACTTGAATTACTTGTACAATTTCGTGGTGCATCAAAACCAATGCTTAATCATATAATTAGTGATATTGCTGAACATGTACATCAAATAGAATATAATGGAAAAAAAAAAGAAATTATTTTAGCTATACCACCATATGAAGAATTATTTAATAAAGATGATTTTGAAATGTTATATGAACATTTAGATGGATTTAGTGTTATGACATATGATTTTCCTAATAGAGAACCAGGACCAATTGCACCATTAGGTATATATTAATATAATATTAGAAATGATATAATATTCTAGAAAAGATATCGATTATAATTGAATATATAATTTCATTTTAAAAATTTACATATCATGGAAAATTTTGAGTATGATTATTGCCGGACTTTTTTTAAAATGCCAGCCACCATTTTTTGAATAACTCTTCACTCTTAATAGCTATCGAGTTCAGGTTTTAGCCATTCGATAGAGCGGCGCGGGGAGCGTCTATCTATATGAGACTCATTAGGACCAAAGAAATTTTTTATGGTAAATATTTAATTGAGAAGAGTTTGCATTACCAATTTTCATTAGTTTTCATAGAGACTTAGGCTTGAATTACACCAGAAGGTAGCTCGGAGGGTACTGCACCTGTGATAAAATTTTCAGCTTTTTCTGTCATTGTTTTGAATACGATAGTTCGTTAAAATTCTGAGATTTTAACGCAAATTCAGGATCTCAGAGCTACATTTTGATGTAATTTAAGCCTAAGTCTCTATGAAAACTAGTGAAAATTGGTAACGAAAACTCTTATCAATTAAATATTTACCATAAAAAACTCGTTTGGTTCTAATGAGTCTCATATAGATAGACGCACCCTGCGCCGCTCTATCGAATGGCTAAAATCGGAACTCGATACCTATCAATGGTGAAAAGTTATTTAAAAAATGGTGACTGGCATTTTTAAAAAATCCGACAATAATTATAAAAATCGTATTAGTTTTCTGAAAATCTTTTTTTAATTAAAAATTATGAAAACAAATCAGACATAAGAGAAAACTCGAGATTTCAAATTGTGGTGCCAAGGAGAATGTCACTTTTGTGAAAGCTCGTCTGAAATGAGACATTTTTCGCTTTTAGTGAGAAATGTTTCAAGAGAACTTCAAAAAAATAGAATGTTGTTTTGATGAGAATCTGTTTTCAAAATATTTGAGTATTTTTCTAATAAACCATATAAGAGGAATTTCATTTTGAAAATATCAGATAATTGTATACTATGTATAGAACAATTGAACTTTATAATAAGTAAATGAGTCAATTTTCTACTGATATAATTCTGATCGAAAGATTCTAAAAAAAAATTGTCTTTGATCATAATATTAAAAGCATAATATGTAATTCTGAAGACCATATGAGTCTTTTGTCATATTTTTCGTTCTTTTTTTTTCAATAATATAAAGCCAATGTATTTGTTCTTATTCGAGACGAATTAACACATGGAACAAAGAACTGAAACAGATAGTGCTCTAATTAAAAATGAATTTTGGCCCTAAAAGTTTATGGATTAACATGACTCTTTTAATCTTCTAAACATGTTTATTAAGTTATGTAAAAATATTGATCAAATATTTACATCTTTTTTTTTTTTTCTTCATTAAAGAATGGGTCAAAATGACAATGGAAAAATTTGTTATGCCCGAAGATGAAACTCCAATTAAAGTATTTCTTGGTCTTAATTTTTATGGATATCGTTATGATCGAGTTGATTCATCAGAAAAAAACGAACAAAAACAACAATTTGGAATGAAATCAATTATTGGTCAAGATTATATTGAATTTCTTCGAAAATCTCATCATAAATCAATGATTGTTTATGATCCTCGATCACAAGAACATGCTACAGTTATACATGGTCAACCAACAAAACAACAACCAAATCCAATACCTGAAACAATTATTTTCTATCCTAGTTTAAAATCAATTTATAAACGATTAGAATTAGCAACTAAACTTCATGTTGGTATTGCTATATGGGATGGTGGTCAAGGTCTTGACTATTTCTATGATTTGTTGTGATTAAATTCCATAATATATTGTTTTCTTTTTTTGTTCTTGATTATTTTGCTCATGATTATTCATTTTTCTTTCTGTTTTTGCTTTTTTTTTTTTCAACTGTAGATTTTCACTTTTTTGATTGAAAAAATTAAAAATGAAGCTTAAATAATGGTAGGAACATTCATTGATACATTTTGGCGGAAATCATTCATTGGTGATTTACGCCGAGCTAGAAAAGACTCTGATGATGATAATCAATGGACTATAATATATAATGGTAAAACTCATCAATTTCTATACGTTTGGTTACAAGGTATTTGTATCAAGGTGAGTTATATGGCAATAATTGTTATTTTTGATATACGATATCTACTAAATGTTTTTAATTATATTAAATGATTGATAAAGATAATAGAATATGAATAAGAATTGACTTGTACATGGAAAACAAATATTTATTTTTTTTGCTTTCTTCAAATATTATTCTATCGAAAATTAATCAGTATTTTGAAGTATAAAAGATCATATGATTTCATTTCGATACGAAAAAAGAAAAATGAATATAACTGAAGAAAGATGTTTGTAGATAAATTTTATAATAGGATAATCTAGTTAATTACAATATGAAATATTATGTATATATATATATATAGATCGACAAACATGCTGATTTAATGATAATTGAAGATGCTACAGGACAAGCGGAAATACAAAATTGTTCTCGTCTTCTAAATGCATTGTCAATAAATGAAGGTATATATTTTACTTTTACAGATTGATATTCATTAACAAGATATACATGTATATTTAACATATAAATACTATTAATAGATCATATAAGAACACTTATTGATAATAAATATGAATAAAAAAGGCTTTACTATTAATATATTTTAAAACTAAATATATTTTAAGACTCGACACATGCTGACGAATGATATAGATATCAATGAAATGCATCATCAGTATTACAAAAAATGTTTTTCTTTCTTTATCTATAAAGATAACTTAGATTATTGACATACTAAACATTAAAAATTGTTTTGTCACTATCTATCATTGTAAGATAAATTCAGTAGGAGGCTTTTTGATCAGAAAGAAAATGTTGAGGTTTCTTCCACAAAAAAATCTTGACAAAAACAGAATTTCAACTCTGTCTATGCGCAAAAATCGAACGAAGACACCAGGGGCGTAGCCAGAAATTTTTGAGTCATGGGCAATTCATCAACCGAACTATTTTAAGTTACAGGCAGCTAAGGGCAACCATTATGATTTCAAAAATATCCATGGACAATAACTGTTCAAGCACTGCATAGCTCAATAAATCTATGGGCAATAACTTTTGAAGCTATAGGCAATTACCCAATGGCCCTACCCTTGGCTACGCCACTGGAAGGTACGTTCTCTAGAATTTTCAGCTCCTTCCATCCTCAAAAACAATTAGGATCAGACAAGTATGGACCGAGATCACGAGAAAAAAAGATTAACCAGATCAAGACTGCACTAAATTTATCGAGATTATAATCAAGATCGATGGATAAAATAGTTTTCGGAATTGGGATCAAAAACACTTGATCTCATACATCTGTCATTGGGAATCTTATTCACTAGTAAAGAATCGATTGCATATCATTTCGTATTTTTAATATCTAGTACTATCAAGTCTATTTTATGCATAAGATGGGTGTGAGTGTAGATATCAGTCTACTCTTCGCATCTACATTCTAAATTTTAAACCTTGAAAAATGCTAAATATTTTATATTTTTAAATATTTAAATGCAATATCATTGTTACAAATATATTGTATCTCAGTTATATTTAGAATAATCTTGTTTCTGTCATGACATTTAATTTAGCTGCTTGTTTAAGATTCTAATTTGAGATAGATATAGGCAAATTACCCCGAGTCTCATGTTTTATATACTCTATGAATTATATGATATAATCATTTATCATGCAAAGGAATATTTCATTGAATTTGGTCATGTTAACCTATTTGAATACTCCTTTAACTCGTTAAATTTTTTGGTTCTTTTACATACACGTCATTGACTATTTAAATATCTTTAATGATTCATGGAGTACAAATGTTATCTTTTGAATGACGTGGCATCTATGAAGAGTGTTTCATATTTTTGACTCAATATTTACATATAATCTTTATCTGAAATTTTGATTCATTGTAAAAACAAAATTGATTTCATATATATTTTTTTTAGGTGATTATACAATGGTTGCTGGAAAATTACTTAATACAACTTCATCAGATCATATTATTGTTGAGGGATTTAAAATTCAACCTTTTAAAACTTCATCTAAACATGAACTGAGTTGGCCATTTGAAGTAGTTGATATTAGTCAACGTGTTTATCATTAGACTTGATGAAAAAAAAAAACATTGAAAATTTACAGAGAAACTCATAAATAAATAATACTATGATAAAAATATTTTTGTTTCGGTTCATTGAAATTGACTGAGTTTTTTGTCAGCAATAGATATTTATTCAAAATTTCTTCCTTTTTTTCATACGAATAATGAAAAAAAAAATACCAATATTGTTGACCTCATTACTGGAATTTGACCTGTTGCCGAATAAGAAAAATAGAGTTGCATAACACTTCAAAATAATTTTCTGTTGTTATCTAAGAGAACAGGCAGAAAAGAATCAAAACAAAGTTTATGAAAGATATTATGGCAAAGTGCAACAACTGAATCTTCAGGTTTCGATAATGTAAATGTTGACATTCGTGTTCGATTACTAAGATACATAATTGAAGCCCTTTGTAAGCATTAAATCGTCAACTTTCTTGCAAAAATTAGTATCCGATGCTTAGCACCTCCGAATATTGTAATCGTGAACTTGTAAACTAATCAATCTTTAAAATTATTTTGAAGCGATACACTGTTGTATTTTTCTTATTTGACAATATGTCAAGATTTTATTAATGAGATCGACAATATTAGATTTTGCCTACATAATACATATGAAAAGAACAAACTATACATCAATTTTTACTACTAACCAAAAAAAAATCTATCTATTTCAATGAATCGAAGCGAAGATATTTTAAATTCCTTTTTTTTTTTTATCAAAATATTATCTGCTGTCCACATTGTATATTTTCTAGTTTTCTTTTTTTTTGCACAAGAGTAAATATTTCCATACATACAAAAAATAAACAAACAACTAAAACAATAGTAGATCATTAAAGATGTCGACCAAATCTTGTTGCAGGAATATAATGCTTTAAATTTGGTTTCCAACCTTGACTATAAGCTTTTCGAAGCAAATCAATTAATTGTTGTCGATTTTGTGATGGATTTAGAAGTATTGATCGTTGCTGATTGTCTTTGTTTTCATTAGATTCTTCACTACTAAAATCGAATATATCAGACATAGTGGTTGATGACTCTTTTGGCTCTAAAGAATATATGATGCAATATTATAAAAAAAGAAATAATAGTTTGTTTTTTACCTTCATATTCATAGGAATCTAATTCTTCATAGGATGTTTCTCGAGCAGAAGTGAATGAAAGTATCAGTAGAAATAAGAGAAAGATTTGTAATACGTAAGAATGATCCATGTTTAAATGCTATAAAAAAAATGAAAAGAATCTGTATCAAATTGTCGTAAATATGTCATTTCATGATAGTAAGTTGATGTCTTATAAATTTCAAAAAAATTCTTCTATTTGCTTTGACGGTGATATTTGCTTACGTTGATGCTATATATGAGTCAGTAGGTATTGAAATCAGACGCCTACTTATACAACAAGTAACTCGCAACAGTAATTTCAAAATAATCTCAAAAAATGTTTGACATGATTACTTTTTTTAAAAAAAAATTACGTTAAAAAGAGAAACCGGACAAGTTTAGTAGTGAAATAGGAGAAGACAGAGGAAAAGATTGTTCGATTCATCATATTGACAACGGTTATTGACAAATCGACAAACATCTAAAGTTTCAATAACGCATAAGAACGAATATTATAAGAGTTAAGTCGGAATCAGTAGTCTCGTTCTAATAAGAAAACTTAACTTAACTATGATAGAAAACAGATTATATGTGATGTTTTTTTTCGATCAATTATATTCAACACTTTTTTCTATTACTTACTAGTATATTTATATCCAACAATTTACATGATTTTCTTCAAAGAATATATAATTTGAGTAAATTAAAACTGATAATAAATATTGATGCTTTCTCGTATAAATGATTTTTTTCCTTTTGAGACACACAATACACTTAGGAATCCAATGTAATTTATTATCTATTGCTGGAAAATGTATCGAACATGTTTTTTTTCTTTTTTTTATACTACCCTTGTATTCTAAGGTCAATAATTGTCTTTTAAATATGGGAACGAACACACGTATGCATCGGATATTTATCATATTGTGACTAATATGTAATGCATTTGGTGTATCCTTCTATTACAAACTGATAATTTTCTGATTAATTGAAAATCATGAATATAAAACGTGCAGACACTAAGCTAAACCTCGGAAATGAAACTTAGTATATTATATAGATTTATCATGATTTTTACTCAGAATAAAAAAACATAGACTGTTAAAACTATACATGATATTTTAAATAACAGTTCATTCATAAATATAAAAAAGAGATAGAGAGATAGACTAGAGGGTGTAGGAATATCCGGTTAGACGAACTACCTTTTTTTTTTTGATTAAAAAGAATAGCCGACTGGGATATACAGAGAAAGTTCTGTTTATCTAGGTTCACGATTAATTGAACAGCAGATGAATGAACTATCAAAAGACACGATTCTCTCATTCCGTTCCGTTTCTTTTATATTACTTAAATAATGAGACACGACTTCCTTTCTCATTATAGTTTGGAGATAAATATAGTCAATAACAAATTTAGTTTATTTAATTTTTTTTAAAGTCCGTTCATTATCTCATTGAGTATCACTCAGTGTGAAAAGGTTATTAAGAAATTTACGTATTATCAACATTATTATAATACACATTATCTCTTCTATTTTCTGATATGAAATTTTTACAGATACAAATATTCGGATTTTGTTATTATTATTATGAAGTCAAAGAAAAACAAAAGAATATGAAAGTCTATTAATTAAGATATTGAATATAATAGCAAAAAACACTAGTTACAAAGAATATGAATTCAGAATAGTTAAATCTCATATGTTAATCGTATTTCATTTCTATTTCATTACAAAGGAAAAACTAAATCGAAATCCAAGAAGACAATCTTTCTTGAAATTTACTTAAGTCAAAAATGAATTTTTTGTTCGAATCAAAATATTTAATCATAATAGAAGTTAACAGACAGAGATAAAAAGTAAAGAAATTAAGCAGCGAATTGCTCACTTACTTAATTTCATTATTAAGAATTATTAATAGAAATATGTATGATATCATTTCTCATAGTGTATATATGACTAGATTTAAAAGAAATTTGTCGCGTTATTTAACAATTTTAGACTTATTAACATCATTTAATTAATATATCTTGATAGTTTTTTTGAATCAAATATTTTTACATATTACAGCAAGTTTTGGAATTTAAAATACAACATCTTAATCTTACCTGTTGTTGAAGTATGTTGATATCAATGTCTTTTCACAGTAATATAACGACTGTCTATATACTGATAAGAGAAGGGAAAAAACCAAAAGTGAGAAACTCACTCAATAGATTTTCAAGACGAAAGAATGAGTCGAAAAACAACTTTAAAGAAAACAGATCAGCGAGCAAAAAGTATATGACATATTGATATTATAACAGACAGAAAGTTTCTTCACACATATGTAACAGGAAGAAAAGATCCATGATACATGACTAATAACAAGACAAAAAAGAAAATGAGCATCTATGAGTATAACAAGAATATTCTTACTATCTCATGTATAGAGTCTACAGAAAGTATCATAAAGATTTGAGTAATATTTATTCATCATGTTTGCTAACGAAAAAAATGTGTTAGAGATGTGATCATTATTAAAAAGTAAATTCAATATTTTATTTTAACTTTGGAATTCATCGAATTCATTCTGAATATTTGTTACAATTTATCGATAATTAGAAATAACCTATTGCGCGAAAGT